TTCACCGGTACACAGTGTTCGTAGGGGGGAGGGAAAGAGGCCTGATGCCTGCCTGATATGTTGCTGTTGCTTCTGCAAAAACAATAATACACATTCACACACACACAAAGGAAACGAGAGTCGGAGCCAGAACTAGAGCCAGAGCCAGAGCTAGAGCCAGAGCCAGAGCTAAAGCCAGAGCACAGCCTGAAGCGAATAACACAAATTTCAATTTTAAAATATATTGAAATTATTGAATGTTTGTATAGCATTCCAAATGTGTTGTGTACACACACTGAACTGCCTGTTTTCTCTTTTTCGCTCGCTCGCTCTCTTCATCGGTAACTGTAGACATGTTCGTGTGTAATGTGAATCCGCAAATCCATTTTCGATTCAGTAATGCCATTAGCATGGAGCCATTATTCTGTGTTTTGTGTAGATCGTCGTCGTCGGTTGAACGGTGGAAAGAGCGAGACTGCGACAATAGCATCGAACAACTATGCATCACAGAAACGGAGAGAGAATGGTAGAGAGAAGAACAGCGAGCGCGCGTTTTACATTTGCAAATGATTTTCATTTGTGAAAATGGTCACATTGACAACAATCGACTCGTTCACGACTTGGTTCCAGTGCACAAATATTGTGAATACGGCGTAAATGCGTGCATGTTTGTTGTATGCAATGGCATTGCAGTCAGTGCTCACTGCTCAGCCAACACACACACACACACACACTGTCTCATTTGCTTATGCTGCATCTCACTCTTGCGCTCGTTGTCCATTCAAAATGCGCATAAATGTTGGTTTAATATCAATAATAGAGTAATTTGCTTAAAATATCTTTATCGCTCTCGGTCGTCGCATTTCGTTGACGTGGTTATTTCATTTGCTCGATTGTTGCCATGCAATTTCTCGCACTGATTTTCTCGCCAAACGCAACAGCTCCCGCCACCGTCACTGTCACTGCCTATGCCAACACAATATGCATGATTTTTCGCATAAGTTTTGTAATATTTGTGCTTGTAATTTTCAATTGGTCCCCATACAATATCCAATTGAACGATAATCCCGAGAATAAGGAGCTATACCGATCGATTCCAATTTCGAATCGTGGAATTCATGCAGAAGAGCGCGCGTGAGTCCAGGGGCCAATTGATTAGCGATTTTTCGATTCGGACAAAACGGTTTTCGGCATTATGCATTTTCCATAAGCAAATAGGATGAAAATTCAAGTGAACGAGAGAGAGAGAGAGAGAGAGAGAGAATCGAACCTAAAATGCAGCCAATAATAATGGCTAATGCATCCCCCGAGTAGCGACACAGTCAAATCCAAGCGCTATGCAGAGAAAGTCTATGCAATTATCAAAATGTGTGTATGCATTTTGATTTATGGTCACAATATGAATTTGAAATGCAGGCGAGTGTTTCCTCTCGCCGGCTCTCTATTATTACATATTTTATTAAAATGCTTTCGTCAAAACGAGAAAATGCCTTCATACACGCGCACATATGTACGAACGCCCCGAACGTGGATTCATTCCAAAGCACGCTCGCATTGTTAGACTCACACTCACACATACACATGCACACAAAGGCGAGTATATACAGTATATTTTGTACACGGTACGCATATTTTAAGTGATCAGGAGGATGATGCATTTGTGGTGGCTTTGACGTTTGACTGTACGCAAAAAGCGAAACAAGAGCGAGCGAACGAACGATACAGAGATATGCAAACGCGATACAATTATGGATTTGAATAGAAATGCATTCACCAGGATGTGTACACAAACATTGACCATATTGAAGTAGTACCGGCGGGGCCCATTTGAAATAATTTTCTATATTCGTTTCGTTGAATATTTCATGTCTGACGGATTTTGATATGTGTTCAACTTGTATGACTTTTGCTATCGTCAACAATGCACATGCACATGCAGAGAAATCCAACAACAACAACAAAAAACAGCCAAAATGTTCTCAGCAGCTATTTTCGCATCTAAAATTGAAAGAAAAAACATATCCGATTAGCTAGAAAATGATGTTGAACGTTTTGTATTGAGAAGTGGGCAGAGAATGAGCGTCCGATTCACAGGAAGTGATGTCATTGGTAAAAACATCTGCTATTGACATCTCAACCTGTTTTTCCATCACTCTGAATCGAAGTCAATTTCCTCTGTTTTTCCAAACTCTGTTCACACTTTTTGTGACATCAAAAACTTCACGGAGAGGGAAAAACAAACGCTCTTCCGTGTCCACAAAAAAAATATGATAAGAAAAAAACCATAAACCATTCGACATCTCATCGAATCGACAGAAAATATGGTATTGTTAGCAAAAACAATTCTGGCTCGGTTTCATGAACAATCCATATGTCCCTGTAGCGTGCGAGCATTTGCTCTCTCTCTCTCTCTCTCTCTCTCTATCTCTCTCCCGCTCATTCGATACAAATTTCGTTGCACAAAAATATGCGAGTGCATAGTTGTTGCTGTTTTTTTTGTGTGTGTGCGCGAGAGTTGCTCTGCATCGATGGCATTTGTTTCACGTCATCAGGACGATGTGTGTGTATGTGTGTTTGAGAGTGTTTATGAAATCCGCATGAAAAAGCCGACACAACTGCATATCGATTCGCATCGAATGTATCGTTGTTGGGCCATTAGTGCAATATTCGCCCGCTTCTCTCTCTCGCTCACTCGCTCATTCGCTCGTTCGTACACCCAAATGCAAACCGATTTCTACAATGCGACAGATGCTCACTCTCAAATAAGTGCCTTTAAATAGCTTCATAGAGAATTGGAACAGCTCAAAATTTCATTAGACCAACGACCACCTGTTTTGCTAATAAATGAAATAATTAATGAGATAATTTGCATACAGACACATATGCACACACGTATATATGCACATAATGGTGCGTATGTTTGTGTGTGTGTGTGTGTGTGTTTAGACATCGCGCGAGGGGGATTTGGGAGGCAAGGCGGTGCTGGCAAATATATCGCATATAATAAAAGCCCGAAATGACTCGAAAATATTATTATTTTTGATGATGATTACAACGCAACCCGTACAAATGAGTGTGTATAGTGAGTGAAGAGAATGAGTGAACGATGCTAAGCGCGCGTGCACACAATTTTGAGCAGAATGATTGGGTTCACTTTGGTTTTGATGATTGTTTTTAGTTTGGTGCCAAATCCGTACCGTTTTCATTGAATTGCAACCGTTTGTTTTTCTGTTTTGTTGTTGTTTATTACGTGAAGAGAGAACGAATGAATGAATGTGTTGTGTATAGGATATATACATATATAAATATGAGTTTGTTTTGATGAATGAAAATGATTGTCACTCGTTTCATGAAAGCTTGATAATGTGTGACAATTTCATTCGGGTTTGAGCTACTATTGTTTGTGATATGAAACTACAGATCTAGATAAAGATCGCTGCAGCGCCATTACCACACCACAATCGATATACACACAATCACATAATCACAAAATACACAACAGTGGAAAAAGGAGTAATTATTAATTATGGCATTTTATCACAATTCACGAGCTCAAATAAAAAATATCCCCCAATGATATTGTGAACCGCTAAAAAGTTTATTTATTTAAATGATTTTTCATTTAATTTTTTTTGGATGAAAAAAATCGACGCGAAGAGAGAAGTGAAAATTGTTACAAACAATATCAATTTCGGTATACACATTGATGTACTCTCTTGCTGTCGCCACGAACAATAGAAATGAAGTTGCATTGCCTCGATCTCTGGCCAATAAATAAAATGTATCAATTTTTGAAGGGAAAAAATGGGAATATCCTCACAAAAAAATGAGCGATTTTTTTTTCTCTTCAACAACAACAATAATAAAAATCGACAAGCATTTAGGTTTCGCGATAAAGACAAACAATAAACTAGCATTCGATTTTTCGGAACGAGAAAAGCGAATGATTTGGCGAGCGCGCACGACAGAAAAAGAGAAAAAAACACGGGAATTATATACGGTCATTTTTTCTTGTATTGTTAAGCTCGTATTTTTTTGTTTCGTTTTGTATACATATTTGAAAAAAAAAACAACGTATTCTATATTGTTTTATGTTTTGCTGTCTATCTATCGTGCATATTGGCTTTATAGTTTTTAACAATAAGTTATTTTATTCTGTTATATACTCTTGTTTAGTTCTCTCTTCTTTTTTTTCGTTCATTGGAAAAATGTCTGTTGTTTATTGTTGTTGGCAGGCTTCGAAAAGGCTTCTGGGCTTGCTTTTATAGCATTATCTATACCAATTACAATATTTATATCAATTGAATAATGGTTATGACATATTTATACTGAAAATAAAATATTGCAACAGCAGAAAAAAACCTGAGCCGAAAGAAGGGAGGAACAACTGTTTTTGTTCAACTTTTGATAATCAATGACTATTGGCCTTTCACAATGAACTGCGTTTTGAATGGAACAAAAACCAAAAAAAAAACAATGTTGTTGTTGTTGTAGTGCGGAAAAAATATGTGCAAATGAGATATGGGAAAACGGGGAACAAATAAACTATGATTTAAGTAAAATGAAAATGAACTTGCTTCGGAAACACATGCTAAACTACATTTTCTGTGCGCTTTTGAATGCTAATGCGAGCTTTCAGCTGTTTTTTTTTATATCTCTCGATATATTTATATTATCTATATTATTATCCGTCTAGACCGATATTCTTGTTGAGGCCTCTAATTTTATGTTTATTTCGCTGCCCATTCATCCGAAACCCACCTTTCTCCTATTCCCTTTTTTTGCCATTTATTCACCTCCCTTTTTCAAAATCACGTAGCTTTTGTTAACCAATTTATTTTATTTTCAATTCTTTCGTTTTTAAAATATTCAAAGTGAGAATTTCACACCTTCATAACATTGTTTTGTTTTTTTTTCTGTTTCGTTTCGAGAATGAAACCACTTAAACAATGCGAACAAAGTGTTAAAACATTAAAACCAACCAATTTTTTTCTCTTTTTTTTCTTTTTTCTTGATTACAGAACGAATAAAGAACATTTTTATCTCTATCTTGAACAAAAAAAAATAACACAAGAAAAGAAAACACAGACATACACACACAGAGAAAGAGTGAAAGAAGTCAGAAGAAGATAGAGAGAAAGAGAAATATGTTCAGTAATAACTATGTATGTAATAGCAACCAAATCAAATTAAGTATTATCCCGGCTTATTTTGGCAAGTAGAGCGCATCAGCAGAGCAGCTTTATTACATATATAAATATAAAAAAAACAAAGCAAAACAAAAACCAAGCAAACCATATATAGACATATATATACGCATTCTTGTTCGGCCGTCTGCAAAACCAAATACCATTTCGGACTGATAAATAAAAAGCAAACAAACCAAAACACCACTGCAAATTCCCCTCCTGCAAAATCAAAGCAAAGCAAAGACAACAATCGGCCAGCCGCTCTGACACAACCGCGCGCTTTCTGTACCGACCCACAACGAACAACCACCACAGTCAAAAATACAGCGAAAATGCAGTGCAAAGCAAATAATGCCGTGAACTGAAATGAAATTGAAGTAAATCGATGATTGAACAAATTGAACAATTGACAAGAAAAGGAAAACCGGAATTTTAGCCAGAAAAAAATCAAAGTGAAAATAATAAACAAAAAGAAAGCAAACGAAGTAACAAAAAAATACCGGCCAGTCCAGAGTTTAATGTTTTCGTTTTGTGCAGGCGAATTGTGTGCAAAATCATTCGCTTGAAACGCGCTTTTTTTCTAACGAGCAAAAAAAAAACGAAACATCTGACCCGATACTCTTCCAATTGGACCCACACTAAAATCGAAATAGAAAAAGGGAGCAACCATTGCGTTTCACTAGCCGACGTTCATTCAATAACGTGGAAACAATTAAAGAAAAACGTGAACGCGCCCAGGACACAACAAATCCCCAAAGTGGAACCACATCTTCAGTGAACAGATACTTAACACCGACTTCTTCTAGTCCCTATTTGCCATAATTCGATAAGTTTCTTATAAACAGAACGAGAGAAAAAAAAACTTAGTGCACCGCGACACATTATATCCACAACTACTTTTCTAGTGACAAACACAGACTCTTCATGACACCAAAATAAACCAAAACAAAGAAAAAAAAACTTGGAGCAAAAACAGAAGCAAAAAAAAAAAACGAAATTGCGAAGCGTGAAAGTGACTGAATAAGAAAGTAGAAGCAAATAAATCATTTCAAGCGTTTCACACCGACTGAAGCATCTGAAACTATTCAATACCCTCTCTCGAAACGAGGACGCAGTGAGAGTTGCACACGGGTCAAAAAGAAGAAAACAAAAGACCACACAAATAAAATAAAACATCGATCAATTTTGTGATATATTTTCAAAAGAAAACAAAATAAACAAGTTTAAAATTATTTATTAACACACAAATAAACAAAAAAAAGGAATTAATTAGAAAATAAACAACTAAGACTTAAATCTTGTGTTGCTTCTACGAAAGAGATTAAACAAGTATCGACACGGTGAACATACACAAAGGGATGAATTGAATCGAATCAAACTGGTGATAGAAAAAAAAATCGATTTTTTTTTAAATTATTAACACACGGGACTGAACACATTTCTAAAAAGAAACGAAAAACAAACACTCGAATCAAATCCTTTGCGCCGTTTACTTTAGCAAAGATAAATAAAAGAGAGTGAGCAAAGAAGAAGAAAAAAAAAACAATTTTTAAGGAGGCATTACCGTATAATGGCATCAATGGTCAACATGAATAATCTATTAAATGGTAAAGATTCGCGTTGGCTTCAACTGGAAGTGTGTCGTGAATTCCAGAGAAATAAGTGCTCACGACCGGATACTGAATGCAAATTCGCCCATCCACCGGCCAATGTCGAAGTGCAGAATGGACGCGTCACGGCTTGCTACGACAGCATCAAGGTAATTATCACAAAATCCTTTTATCCCATACATTTTATTTTTCTTTTTCTCTAACTTTTAGTTCTTGTTTTAAAGAAGAAGGAAAAAAACAAAACAATTTCTCTTCTGTTGGTTTCCATTTATTGAAATGCGTACTTTTTTTGTGTTTATATTTAGTTTATTGCTTTTTTATGCTTTCACAATGCTTTCAAACAACAACAACAACAACAACAACAAATCTATTGCCGATGCTATTGCACAATGTTCGCTGCCGCAGTGATTATCTCTGTCTCAATGAATTGATCGAATTGATCGTTTGTGAGATATAGTCGATGCATTCGTGTCAATAGGTTTTAAGCCGCATGATCAAAGCACTACATATATATGTTTAAATATGAGAATTATGATTGAGAGTAATGCTGTAGCACGCGAGCGCGACAATGTTTTGCATTGCATTCGGTAACCAGTTGCTTGTTATTTTCTTTATTATTCTAGATGATAAGAATTAATTTGTTTTTTTTCTGTGTGTGTGTTGGGCTGGGAAGTACTATCGTGGTATGAAGGCCTTAATTACATCTTCCACCCGCTACGCCCATTGAATGATATTTATATCAAGTGAATTAACAATGCTTTTGAATTGCTGCCTGGTGGTTGTGTATGAAAAACCGAAAAAAAAACCGCTTCTATTTGTCCACTTTTTCACCTTGCCTCCTCTTCCGTCCCCATGCGTTTTACATGTTGGCGTACGCGCGCGCTTCATTTTTTTTTCATTACATATTCATTAGTTTCATAGCAGCCGGTATAGTTAGGTGTGAATTTGCATCGGCGTTGTCAGCATAGTTTAAAATTTATTTTCAACAACAAACAACCGGCCCAGAGTTCAATTTGGCCTTCATTTGAGCGACGAATTGAAAGCGCGCACACATTTTAGTTAGTCGCGTTCTGTTTTCCACACCGGCAGACAGATCCGACGGAACAACAACATCATTGATGGAAAATAGGCTCAATTAGTAATTCGAATATGATACTCAACCGAAAATAGTAGATAATATAGGGATATATTGTAATGATAAAAAGTAATTAACGAAAATACAGTGTGATTGCGACCATTTGATAATGTAATTCAAACAGAGACGTCAAAACATTGTATATATGTATGCCACACATGAATAGAAACCATCTCCGAAAATATTTTCGCCTGAATTTCGATCCGCGGACACACACACACATACACACATATACACACACACAGCGTTGCTTTAGGCTCAACAACCACCACCAGCAATAGAAAAAAACAGCAATCGCGCCCAGCTTTTATTCATCATTCAACGAACGACAAATGAACATGTATACGATTTACTATATATGGCAAAAATGCTCGGGGCAATGCAAAATGGCCAACTTTATTAAAATCATCTCGCTGAATCTTTCCAATCGCAATTCAGTGGCTCATCGCAGCGTGTAATACAATCGAATTGGCGAGAGTGTTGCTCTCTCTTGCATCGCGTCCTCTGCAATTTTTCGTAGTCTTTGCGACCGTTCTCTCTCTCTCTCTCTCTCTCTCTCTCTCTCTCTCTCTCTCGGCGTATGTGCAATTTTCAAAATGGGAAATTGGTTTATCATTTCATTTCGAACAAATAAATTGATGCGATGCAACGTGAAACGCCAAACCGAAATACTGAATTGAACACATACACTCGTATGCACGTAGGAAACAAAACATTCAAATGCTCAGTTAATTGTTGGATGATTAATGCTCACACCATTTGCAATGTGTATTGCAGGCCCTCCCGAGAAAGAGAAAAACAACAGCTTCAATGAAAATGCACACGCTTTTTCCCCGGCCACCGAATCGAAATGCTCCATTTGAATTTGAACCATTTGTACCCTCTTTTAATCATCCGTCCACCCGCGTTCTCGTTCTCTTTCTCTAGCTCATTCGGATCCGGTCTCATTACTCCATTTATTTATACAGATTTAATTGCCATGCAGTTACCAATCAAACACAAAATAAACAAAATTCAAGCCCCTGTATCATTTAATTTGATTCGCTGTCAATGCGCCCGCAATACCAAATTATTATTTTCTTTAATTACCTATCCATTTTTCACATTGCGCGGCATGTTGGTGGCGCTCACGCGCTAGCCTCGGCTATGTGTACTCTATCGCTTGCTCTTTTTCCCTTGTTATTATATTGTGTTGGACGAACGAACAAACGAAATGAATGGACGAGAGAGAGAGAGAGCACACCACATGATTTTCCGCTCTGTTCATGTGTTCATGTGACATGTGTGCAGCCAAAAATGATTATAATTATAAATATGTTGTTGCATCGCAATTGATGACAGAGAGAGAGAGAGAGGCCATGCCTGATGAATTTGGTACACATTGCACGTAATTTTCGATGTTTCGACCTTTGAAGTGGTGCAAATATCACCAAAAAATTTGCCTATTTATGTGATTTAAGCCGCACTTCTATTTTTTTATTGTTTGTGGGCATTTTCAAGCCAATCGACCACAGTGACAATCATTGGCACGCATACGGATGCACGTACACATGCTTTTTGCTCGGCGAGAACGAGCGCCGCTGATTTTCACGATCACAGCATAATTTTTCCGATAAAAAAATCTCTCTCTCTCTCTCTGGTGGCATTTAAAATGTCATTGTACACCGTTTGAAATCAAATTAAAACCGGCCGAACGGAACAAAATTCACGGTAAAGAGAAAAATTATGAGGATTTTCTCGCACACGTATAGATCGGTAAGCGATATAGGCGGCAAAGTGTTTATTTTTCTGTGCATTATTATAATGTCATTAGGATGCGATTATGATTGAACAGGAAGATTAGATCAACGCAGTGAGAGAACACATTGAACAATCGAATGCGAGCGAGCAAGCGAGCAAGCGAACGAACGAAAACGTATGATAAAGGGTGTAGATAATAATCCATTAATATATTAGGATGGTGTGTACACAAAGTGAAAATATCTTTGCCGTGTTGCATCAAAATGCGGGAGAATGAGAGTGAGAGAACGAATGAGTGTACGTTGTACAACGATTTTCATGATGTGAATGTGAGTGAGCTTATTCTCGTTTTGTGTGTAATAAAACCACACGGCAGCAGCAGCGATTGAATGCATTTTGTGTGGAGTGCGAGAAAGCATAACATACACATGCGACACGAGAGACATACTGTCACCGAATGGTGTAGCAGTGAAGAGTGGGAGCGAGCAAGCGAGCAAGCGAGCGAATGAGTGAACGAAAATATTAAGAGACAAGAAATGAAATTGCACCGATATGATATGGGATGCAACTCGAAATAATTTGTTTGACAAACTTGACAAGCGACGAACACAGGCAATGGCAATGACAACGGCAAATACTACATACACACAGCCCAGCACAGCACAGCACAGTACAGCACAGTACAGCCATACGCTAAAACAACACGACTGCGTTTTGTTTGCGAGAGCAACGAGAGCAACGCATATATGTGCTGCATTGATAGTACTTGCCGAGACAAGAGCACTTAATTTATAACTCACTGTGAGAGAAAAATGAAGAGCACACCGGGAAGGGAGACGATTGAACCGTACTCGCTCAACGTTTGCACCTTGTTTCGATTTGGAGAAAGAGAGTAGAGCGCGAGCAGCTCCTTTGCCATTATCGACATGCATAAGCTTACTGCACAGAAAGTGCATCACTACCGGTGTGTCCAATAAACAACAAACGCTTCGGCAACAGATAGACAAAGCGAGCGAGCGAACGACTCATTCACTGACTCTGAATGAGTAACCGAGTGAATGAGAGAGAAATAGTAAATTTATGTGCAAATATTGCCTTACGTGAAAATGCCTATACGCACTCGATGCGTTCGAAAGAAAGAAAGGCTGATGATGGAAAGTTGTGCAATGCATTCAAAAAAAAAATCGGATAACATATTTGCTTAAGCGATCAAATCAAAAACTGATATGCTTACTTGCATTGATAAACTAAGCCAATTTTGATCCGTTTGTACAACAAAAAGCGACACGTAGAGGGAGAGAGAAAGCGTCTACGTCATTTGCGTGTTTCACATAAATGCAAATCCTCTTACTCGAGATACTGGCAAGAGGCAAACGATAGAGTAGGTGGAGAGGCAAAGAATGCTTGGTTGGATGCATCCAGCATGTATGCACTTGATTTGCATAAGAACATTCTCATTTGCAAACAATAGAGTGAGAGAGAGAGAGAGAGAGAGAGAGAGTAAAATAGAGAGGCAGTGTACAGAAGGTAAGCGCTGCAGCAGCAGCCGAGCAAAAATGCTCTTGTAACAGCCTGTTGCCAAAAATATTGCCATCGAACCAATGCAAGCCAATTAGATCAATGAGTCAAACAATACTTCTTTTTTACTCATCATCGTCGTCGACGACGACGACGATGACGTCGTCGTCTTCTTCTTCTTCTTACTTGATTTAATAATAAATCAATTTCAAAATGTAGTTATTCGCCGGCTCAAATGATGCCACTACGTACACTTGCTGCTACCACTACTGCTGCTTCTGTACCCTGTCTCATCTCATCCGGATCGCATTTGTTGTCGTAAAACAAGCCGATTCGTGATTCATTAAATGAATCGTGTAATTTTGTTAAATTACGCCCTCCGATTGCTATTTGCAACTACTGTGTGTACTAAAACAATAACGGGAAGAAACTAGATTGCGATTGATATGCATGATCGAGATGAGAAACATATACCGTACAAACAATGCGATACACACACGATTCGGCAGTTCGAGACAATTCTCTTGGCCATTCATTGACTTTTCAGTATTAATTAACCCAAAGAAATTCTAAAACACACAAATTCAACCACATCATTGGTTTAATTGAAGTTGAACAAGGAAAACGTACACCGAGTGCTAGAGATACTCTGACTGAGTCAGAGAACAAATGTTCTCGATTTTCTCAGTTTGCTGTTGTTTCAATTGTGGATTTTGTATGTTGGAGAAGTGAACGAGCGGCGGCGTCAGTGCTTTG